GAGGCGCCGCTGCACACCCCGGCCGCCGCTGCAGCTGCACACCCCGGCCGCTGCCGCCGCTGCACACCTCTGCCGCTGCTGCAGCTGCCGCGGCCGGTGGGCTGCGCTGCGCCCCTTTGCGACCAGCGCTGCCCCCTCCCTCTGCTGGCTGCCGGCCGTGACTTACGCTGGCTGACGCATGCTGCCCCTGCATGCTGCCGCTTGCCTGTTGCTTACCTGTCCTGTCCTGCCCTGTCCTGTCCTGCCCTGCCCTGCCCTCCCCTGTCCTGCCCTACCCTACCCTGCCCTGCCCTGCCCTTGTATGCCCCACAGGAGTTCATTGCGATGACGGTGATGGCGACGGGAGCGCTGCTGCTGTTTGAGCAGGGGCAATACATGGAGGCCGGGGCGGGGACGGTGTACCCCACGCAGGCCGCGCTGCTCGTAGGTGTGAGACTTTCTTCCTCCCTCCCAGAGTGGAGGCTACGCCTGCCGTGTTGTGCTCTTCCCTGCAGCCTGCCCACCGCCGGGCGCTCTCCCCCGTTGCGCGCCGCTGCCACCACAGGCCGCCGCTGCGGCGCAGCACGCCCGCCGCCGCCCGGCCGCTGCTGGCCGTGCCGCCTCCCGCCCCAGGGCGCTGGCCGCGCCGCGCTGCAGCAGTCCCCTTGCCGCCGCCTGCCGTGGCGCGATGCCGGGCCTCCACCGCCGCTTGCAGGGCTGCTGAACGGTGTGATGGTTCTGTCACTGGGCGGCGTCACAGGGCCAGCCATGAACCCTGGCCGCGACCTGGGGCCCCGCCTCGCTTTCCACCTGATGCCCATCCCCGGCAAGTGAGTGGCGCCGCGGCTGCCAGGCAGGGCGTGGGGAGGCGCACGCTGCAAGCTGCACTGGCGCTGCTCGCCTCCTCTTGCTTCTGGCCCGTTCTCCTTCCCCCAGTGTAGTACCTGCCGCAGCTGCCAGCCGGCTTCTCTTCCTGATGTGCCTATTTGTTTGCTTGCCTGCTTTTGTCCGCAGGGGCTGCTCGGAGTGGCACTACGCGTGGGTGCCTGTGCTGGGGGGCCTGGCTGGCGGCGCGGCGGCGGGGGGACTTGTGGCAGCTATCAGCCAGCTGCTGGAATGAGGCTGGAGCTCTCAGCGGCGGCAGGCCCCTTTCCTCCCATCTCAGCTGCCACTTATTTCATATTCTAATAAAATAAGGATGGAATGGAAGGCGACGTGCTATTGCCGACGGCTGTGACGAGGCGTGGAAGCTGCTGCTGTACCGTGCTCGGCGGCGGCGAGGGCGTCCGGCGGCGAGGCGCAGCCAGTTCGAGCCAGCAGCGGCGGCGCGGCGCCCAGCCTCCTGCCTGGCATGACACCCCACGACTCAGTGCTTGGGTCATCGGGGGCCTGTCGTGCAGCCATCGCCCCTTGCGCTGCCTGCCGCGGGCAGATCGCCCCCGCCCGGTACAGCTGTTAGCGGGGGGGCCCGGCTGGGTGGCACAAACGCTGCCCTCTAGCCTCTGAGCTGCTCCTCTTCGCACACAAATGACTCCCGGAGGCCAGAATACGTGTTGGAGCGGGGAAAGGAGTGTGTGGGACCGAGTTAGTTGGCCGCCAGATCTCGCCAGGTGGCGGCACTGGTATTTTTGGCAATTGGGGGCTGTACTCCACACCGGTCCCACCACTGCACCTTTCCGGCCGAGCGTCGCAGCTCCGCCGCCAAGACCCAGGAGAGTTGCGGTGAGCGGCAGCGGCTTGGCCCCACGCCCCGCCTCCATCCACTGGCATGGCACTCTGGCTGCACTGCGCTTCGCCAGGGCCGCTTGCAGCGTCATACACATCGTTTGTGGGCATTGCAGGAGCGCAAAGGCCAGCATGGCGAAGCTTACCCACCAGGAGTGGAGCAAGGTGGTGATCGTGGCGGGCATCGGCACAATTCTCGAGTGGGTGAGTGCCGCAGAGGAGTGCTGCGAGCCAGCAGCGGAGTGGGAGTGAGCACGCAAGAGCCCATGCTCTCTGGACCGTTGGGATCATCAGTGTCGGAAACCGGTTTCGCTGCTTCGTGCAGCGTTGAGGGCGGGCTTGCGGGTGCCCCCCAGGCTTGGCGGGTGGCCCGGCCTCGTCGATTGCAATGAACGGTGCCGCCATCCCTCTCCCGTCGCCGCCGCCCACCATCCGCCGCTCCTAACCCCCCCAACCTCCCCTCCTGCCCTCCTCTCCCTGCCCGCAGTTTGACTTCTACATCTGTGAGCTCGCGCTGTGGGATTGGCGACCAGCCTTGGGCTGCCCGCCTCGCCTTTGCACTGGATGACCCTTCCTGCAGTCCCTTTTGTGCCGCGCGAGCAGGCTGCAATCCCGCTCGGGACCTCTTTGGCACCAGCAGCACCCACCTCGCTGCCTCTGCCCCCGCCACACCCCTGCCGCAGACGCCCAGCTGACCTCCACCCTCAAGACCGTCTTCTTCCCAAAGACCAACCCCACTGCCCAGACGCTGGTGAGCCAAGGGGCCCTGAGCTGG